AAAAAAATAACGCCGTTCATCTACTGACGTTTCATCGTTCGCACTTCGTCAATCGTTAACTTGAAAGATAACCGTGTGTTGGGAAAGTAAATAAATGCACGTTCCTTCTCGCAATCTTCTGGGAAAGAATTGAATGCCAAACTACGTTATGGAAAGGAAGGCAGGAGTGAAGAAATACAGAGAAAGGGGCAACTCTTTTCCTTATCAGACGGGCCTAAAGATTCCCGAATGAGCGTGTGTGTGCAGGGGCGGCTACAAATCAAGGCGCACCGTCCTCGCGCCCCAATTCTAACTTATCTTCCTGCGGCTCCTCAAATGTTCTTCCGCGGTCGAGGCACGGCCAGCACCGAGCCGGACGCGCGGGTCCCGTCCGCCTCCCCGCGGCGGCTGCGCCCTGTCCCTCAGGCCGGTTGCTAAACCCTCTCAGCTTTACCCCCGCAAAGTTCCGCCCTTGCCCTGCGCTTCTGGCCAGGATTATTTAATAACACTGGAGCTGCCACCACCGCAGCAGCTCAGCCTCCCTTGCCGGGTCTTGCCGACCTTGCCCATCGGGCGGCTGGTGGCTTCCCAGGGCCTTCTCCCCCGTCGCCCTCCTTCGCTCCGGGTCACCAGCGTTTTGCTCACCGCCGGGGACCTCGGTGCAGGCCAGGCCCCGCCCTCTGCCCTTCCCAAGCCTGAGAACCGCGGGAAGTGGGCAACTGCATCCGGAAGTGCATCCGGAAGTGCCGGAGCCTGGGGGCGAGGCTGGGGCCGGGGCGGGGCCTGCTCTGGCCTGGCCGGCCAATGGGAACGCTGAGGCCAGGGTCAGAGGTCACATGTCCAGTGGGCGGGCATTTTTGCCAGTGAAGATCGGTAGGAGGCAATTTTATCTGTGGTGAAAGATCTGAGAGGCTGGAGCGAGGGGGAGTGGCAATGTTCTTGAGCCGAGAACCTGGGAGGAAGAGTTCGGGATAGGCTGGAGTGTGGTAGTTCTGAAACCTCTGGAAGACAGATTCGTGTGGCTCTGTGGGGACAAGACCCCGGAACCAGCGTCCACCTCAGCTGAGTAGGTTAGGACAGAGGATGTGAAGGACACAGAGAGGCCAACGGGACTTCAGCCCACTAACTAGAAGCTGTTTAGTTTAAACAATAGGAGAAAAATATACGAGCCTCGCCGCCTCCGCGATTTTACGTGGTCAAAGCGTCGTTTTTGTGTGACGTAGTGAGGAAGGGGAGAGCTGTGGTTGCTGGTTTAGGCCGGCGGGAGGAGATGGGAAGCCAGCCGTGTGCGCTCTTAAATAATCTTGGGAATTACGTGCCGGTGTATCTATGTGCACCTTAAATATATACAATTTTTTATTTGTCAGTTATTCCTCGGTGGTAAACCTGGGAGGGAAAAGTCTTAGGAAACCTTACTTTCCACCTTGTACGTAAGCGCCTGACCTAAACGATTTGTATTCGTTTCCACTGCGGCCCAATAAATCCAGGTCGGCAGGTAGCACAGGAGAAATCTTTAAAAACAGGGAAGGAGAATTTTTTCCAGGAATTGCTGCCATTCAAAAGTTGGCTATTTTTAAATATATGTTCTCTAACCACGCTTTTGCCTGTGTCCCCCGTTGTTCCTGGTTTTAGAAAGGCCTGTTTATCTCTCTTCCTATCCATCCGTAAGATCGATTCAAGTATTTGTAATACAATGAAATGAAGTTGCAGATGAAAGACATTCTATACGACATGGAATTACATAACATATGGTGTCTTATTTAAGTACTCTATATTTAGATGAATTTAAATGATTAACGTCAATACAATAGTAATTATTGTTTAAGGTAGTCAGTGGGTGCCATGAATCCAAAACAGAAATAATGGAAAATTTAAGAAATTCAGGGAAGGAAAATGTAAGGTAAATGCTGACAATAAACTGAATGGATAAACTAGGTAGAGTTTTTTATTTTTTTAAAATATGTTTTTATTGATTTTTAGAGAGGAAGGAGAGAGAGAAACATGGATGAGAGAGAAACGTTATTTATCGGCTGCCTCCTGCATGCTCGCCCTCTGCTGGGGGTGGAGCTGGAAACCCCGCGTGTGCCCTGCCGCAGAGTGAGACGGGAATCCCGTGCCTGCCCGGGAGTGAGACGGGAATCCCGTGCCTGCCCGGGCGTGAGACGGGAATCCCGTGCATGTGGGAAGACATCCCACCCACTGGCCCACACCGGTCAGCGCAGGCTTTTGTTTTCTAAGAGAGCAGAATTTCCCAAATCCTACTCCACTGCTTCAGCACAGTTTTGCCCTTGGCTATTCAATTTTAAGAAATACGGTTATCCTGAGAAAACAACTCCACCAGCTTTGTGAACTCTAGCCTCTTTTGCAACAAAATGATCACATTAAATATATTCAATCCATAGAAGTTGTATGGACTCACCAATATGAAAATTATATAAGTAATTTTGTATCAACATAATTTTTTTCTTTTTAATCATTCAGAGCCTTTTTTTAAAGTAAATGAACCACAGTTTTGTGATTAAGAATGATTTTTCTACTCCTGGCTTTGCTCTTTTACCAACATTTAATTTAATTTTTGTTTTTCCAGATCTTGAAATTTGTACTGCTTTCAAAGGAAGGGGATATGTTTTCACTATTCAAATACTGCGCAATAGACTATTTATATGAGGTAGGTTGTTACTGGATCACCACCCATTTACTAAGAATTGTGATGTAAAAAATGTTATCTGCATTCACTATGATTATGATAATTTTGCAGTTGTCCTTGGATTCATCCTTAGTCTAATTGCTTTGAGATTCATTTAAAATTACATCCTACTTTTAATATACTTTAAAAATGTCCATTTGGGAAGGAAATAATTGACAATCTAACATGAAGTTAAAACTCTTAGGGAAAAAAATGGAAACTTGGCAAGTTTGGGCTGCTTTTATAAATAATCTTGAGTAATCTTTATTGAAAGGAGTGTGTTGGGGGGGAGCAATCTCAATTATCTTTGTGATAAAATAACAACATGTATTAACCACTTAATATGGGCCAGGAACTTTATTTGATGGATTATGTAATTTAATCATTTGCTCTTGTGATGGGTTATATCATTTGATCATTGTAACTACCTGAGGTAGATAATATTATTACAAAGGTTTTACAATTTTCCACATTAGGAAGCTGATGTCTATATAAGTTAAATTGCTTGTACAAAGCTGAGAGTGAAGCCAGGCACATTGTTAAGAACTAATTAGAGTAGGAGACTTGTCATCCAACAGTTCACTGTTCTTATGATCTTAATTGACAAGTTAAATTTTCATTTTCTTTATGACCTTGACCATAAAAAAAATCTACCAGGAAAAAAAAATTACTCCAATATTACTAAAACTGTGTTACATTTTACAGAAAATAAATAAAGGCATCTTCAGGTTTTATTATTCCCTTATAAGGGAGGGAGGCAAATGTGTCATTATAATATATATATGGTAGGGAATCAGAAGTCATTGTTACACAAATATATTTATGAATATATTGGCCTCTGGCAAAATTAGTCCATACTCAAGCATCCTCAAACTTTTATCCCTCCTCATAGTATCTTAGTTTCTTATTCGTGTACCACACCCCATAATACAGTATAAATATGATACTAATCAATGGCAAATCTTGCAAAAAGTGCAGGATTTTGTAAAACTCATGAAAACAATGTTGAACTACTCAAATAACAGGTGAAGCTATCATCAAATGGAGATCTTGCAAAATTAGATCAGTTAACAAACAAGAGGAAGAGAATGGTTTGAATAGCAAAGGAGTCAGATGCCTTGGGAAAATTTGACTAAATCCTCAAGTATTTTCTAAAAATACCTTTTTTACGATCAAAGGTGAAGTAAGGACCAATATCATGCATATCATCATGGGGAAATTATGACAAATTACAATTATAAACTAATTATAAACAAAATTTTGTTAGGTATAAAATTTAATATTTTATAAATTTATTTATTTATTTTTTAGATAAAGTACCAATCAAGCTGTTTTTCCTTCGTACTGTAAACAACTGGTTCTCATTTATATAAGTTCTTTTAACCAATCTTTTCTTTGTACCACTTATTCTTGGATAGAGAAGACCCCTTATTTAATGTTATAACACCTTCAGCAAACATAAAACTCTTGGGAAATAATGCAAGAAACTGTCACTTGTCCAAGTTCCTAAACTAATGAACTCTGTGGGAAGTTGAGAATCACTGAGGGACAGCTTCATAGAGGAGCTATTGCTTAAGACAAGCCTTGGAAAATGAATAGGATTTTGATAGCTAGAAGAGAGTAGAGGGCATTTTTCAGAGGCGCACTGTAGACCATGGTGTTGATAAGGACATGGCTGCTAAATGTTAAGGAAGGTGGTGAGGAGGCAAGTCTATTTAAATAGGACAGTGTTAGAGAGAAATGGGAGATAAAACTGGAAAGTAAAGGCAGAATAGAATTATAGAGAACTTTGATTTATAAGTTTGCTTAACTGACTTAACATTCTTTTAAAGAACCAATTTTATTTATTAGAGTTTTTAAAATTAGAAAAACATTTGATGGGTGTCACAAGTAAAATAATGCAAAGGCATAGAAAACAAAAGTTAAGACAGCTATATTTTACTAAGTGAAAAAAAGCACATTGCTAAATGGTATATAAATGATGTGATCCCATTTTTTTGTCAAAACACACACATACCATTTTGGCCTTACCTAGAAAAAAAGACTGTAGGAAAATACACCAAGCTATAACTGATATTACTAGGACCTTAATTTTCTCAGTATGTGGTTCTGTGTTGTTTAATATTTTATAATGAGCATATAGTACCTTTAAATAAAAATATGTAAATTTTAAATAGAAAATTTTAATATTCTGAATATTGATAAATATGTTAAATATATTAAAAGATTTTATAATCTCACTTTCTTACATAGAATGTGGTTAGAAAAAAGTTTTGCAGAGATGCTTTATTGCTTCGAATCCCTTCATGTTTATATCGAGATGGAAATTACCATGCAGAAGTTACTGATTATAAATTTAGGAGGCCATGGACGAGAGGTATGTTTTATTTTTATTTCTTAATAATCTATTAAAAATTATTTGAGAGTTTAGCACAGTAAATTAAGAAAATACAGTGCTTTTCTAATTAAAACATACTGCATTTATTTATTTAGTTTGTTTATATTATGGCTGATGTGTTAAGTCATTGGAAAGTTTTAGGACAGAGAGTGACATAACCTGATTTATGCTTTAGAAAAATCATTCTGGTTGTCTAGAGGATGGAAGGGATAGGAATTGGGAGGCAAGGGTAAAGACAGGAAAGTCAGCCTGGAAGCTATTACAGTGATTCAGAATCTAGACTACTAGGTGAATCTATACTCTATATAAACGATGATGGTGGATTATAATAATGGAGATGTGAGAAGTGGTTGAAACTGGTATTACTTTAGCGGTCTAGCCAACAGTGAGAGAGTTAAAAAAATAGAAGAATAAAAAATTTCTTCTAGGTTTTAGACCCAAGCAACTGGGTGGGTGGCAGTGCTGTTTCCTAAGATAGGAAAAGGCGGCTCATGAGGAAGCCAGTTTGTGGTTGGAATCAGTAGCTCTGCTTTGGCCAGGTTAAAATGCATATTAGGCATCTAAATGGAGACATCAAGAAGGCAATTGGTTATATTGATCTTGAACACCACTGGTGCTTCAAATTGGAGTCTTCGGTATGTAAATTGCACATAAACTCATGGAACTGGATGACATCACTGAAAGCATGAGTATATATAGAACAGAGAGCCTAGGTCAAAGCCTTGTAACACTCCAACAATTAAAAGATTGATAAAGCCTGGCCGGCGTGGCTCAGTGGTTGAGCATCGACCTATGATCCAGAACACGGTTAGATCTCTGGTCAGGGCACATGCCTGGGTTGTGGGCTCGATCTCCAGTAGGGGGCATGCAGGAGGCAGCCAGCCGATCAATGACTCATCATTGATGTTTCTATCTCTCTCCCTTTCCCTTCCCCTCTCTGAAATCAATAAAGACATATTAAAAAAAAAAAGTGATAAAGAAGGAGGAATCACCTAAGAATACAAGTGAGATAGGAAACCCAAATGGGTGTGGTGCTGTAGAATTCTAAAGAAAAAGTGACTCAAAAAGGGAGAAGTAATCAAAAGCACTGGTCTCTGTTAAAAGGTCAAGTAAGATAAGGATAGTGAGTTGACCATTAGCTTGACCATTAGCATTAAATGCAGGACATTGATGACCTCGGTAAGAGAGTTTCACTAGAATATTGGGTAAGAAAGCTTAATTAGGGTATGTTGAGAAGAGAGTGAGAAGTGGGGTGTGAGATGGTGAATATAGGCTACTCTTTTGAGGAATTTTGCTATGACGGAAAATAGAAAAATGGGGCACTAGCTTAATGGAGAAGTGAGGTAAAGAGATGTTTTGTTTTGTTTTTAATGTGTGATTTTTAAAAAAGGTGTGATGAGGAAAGAGAGTATAAAATACTTGTTTGCCATTGGAAATGATCTTGGTAAAAAGAGAGAAAGTGACGATGCAGGAAAGAAATAAGGTAACTTAATAAAAGGGCATAGTATCGAGAGCACAGTTGGAGTTGGTATTCGATAGGAGCCAGGATAGTTCTTTCATAGTGGTAGGTAAGAAGGCAGGGTTTGTAGGTACTTAAGCCAATAAGATGGTAGAATTGGTGGTGAAAGATGAGGTGGTTCTTTATTTACATCAATTTTCTATGTTGAGGTGAGGCCATAGACTGAGAGTGCATGGGGGGATGAGTATTGAAAATTTGAGGGAGTGTTTGTTAAACAGTTGTCTTAAAAAAATGAGAAAGCCAGTTTTATTAGGAAGGTGTACTATTATCTGTCGATGTTGTATGCCCTTTTGAAATTCATGATCATAATTTGAAATGAGTTCATTCAGCATGGCTGAGAGATCCACCCCCCACCCCAATAATTTTCAGCTGTTCTAGAGTACTTACACAAAGTGAGAGTAGGGGTTTTTCTAAGTCAGTACGAGGGAAAGAGAGGCAACAGAACAGTCTTTGTAGGGAAGTGGTTATGGGACTGGCCGTGGAAGCTAAAGCATCTGAGAAAGAGAGTGAGGACGTGAGGGAGGATGAGTATTATAAAAAGGGGGGTCAATGGATTGAAAGTCTCAGTCAGACTGGAATAGCTTTCACCAAACTGCTTCCTGAAAAGTGCAGAAGGAAAAAATGAGTTCATAATTTCTTCCTACTTATTTTCCTTTGCATCTTTTAAAAAATCATAATAACAATAACACCCAAAATTTATTAGGCTCTTAACAATATTTCAGGTACTGTTCTAAGCAATTTACATGTCTTATCACATTTAATTTTTAGGAAAAGGCCATTATTATTCCTAATTTGTAGATAAAGAAACTGAGGTACAAAGAGGTTAAGAGATTTGCCCAAGATCATATAGTTAATAAATAGCCGTATAAGTATTAAAATCCAGGCAGGGTGATTCTAGAACCTGTGCTCTACGTAAAAGATGTACACTAAGCTTTCATATTTTTTCACTGAGGCACAGACTCAGATGTTAAGTGATTTGTTCAAGGTAACAAAACTAGTAAAAGTTACACTGGTGGTAAAAAACAGGTCATTTGACTTACTTTACTCAGTTGCTTCTTCTGACACTAGTATATGACATGGTTCCTCTCCTTAAAGAACCAAGGGTCTAATTTGGGAGACAAGTATAGATACATAAAATTTTAATATATGACTGAATATGATTAAGTACCAGAGGGAGTGCCACTGACAATAGTATGGCCCTTCATGGGGAATACATTATAGTGAGCTGGAATGGTTAATAAAGGCTACATGAGGAATAACATGAGCTGTTGAACAGCACTCTCTGGGTAGGCAGTGCTGTATAAGCAAAGCAGAGGCTGTAAAAATGAGGATGGTATATGCCGGTGATACTGTTCTGGCTGTAATTGAGGGTT